TTTTTATGTTTATCCTCTCTTTTTAACTAAGGAAATAAACACATTTATTGATTTCAGAATGAGCTTTATTAATGTAGTTAATATGCCTTACTAATGTAATTCTGTGTACTTGGATTAGTACCATTATTGTTTATGAATCAACATTTTTCTTTCAGTTCAAAAGAATGTAGAAGCTTCAGAAGAGAAGAAGACTGTGCCTACAAAGAAGAAAGTGAAAGAATTGTGACTTTTGGATCCGAAAACAGCCCAGAATCTGTGTATGTAGTATTTTCTGCATTGGGGATAGAATTGGAAGTGGTGATAAGGGGTCGTTAAATGTATTTAAAGAAAGTTGTGACTTCTGCACGTGGGTATTTTTAGTATCTCCTAGAAATAAAATTCTGTGTGGGTATTTTTAGTATCTCCTAGAAATAAATTTCTATGTAAATATGATTTGGGTTGCCTATTTGTCAGTTAGCCATTATGGAGAAAATAAAAATTTAGCCTTGGTCAAGCTCGATGAAATTTATGAATAATAAGGCTTTGGAAAGTACCAGTAATAAAGCATTGCTAGGGGACATCTTGAAACATAAGGCAGAGTTGATAAAAGAACGTTGATTTTTCTCCTCCTTGGCCTGGGATTGACAATTTTAGAGTATTCACTAGTTGGTCACATTGGGTAAATCATTTCACTGCTGTTCCCTTATATTTGAAGGAATTGTGATGTGAGTTAGTTAAATTGTTAACCACTGCATTTTAAAACTGGTTAGTGAACCTTGAAGCCTTAAAAAAGCCACGCAGCCATTAAGTGTGCTTTTGCTAAAGCAATCGGACAGTTAGTCACATCTTCATTTAAAATCTAGGCCTTTAAATTTTACTTTAACATACTCTTCCATCTATATTGAATTCAGAATTTTTTTGGTCACTTAAATATCCTACAATTAGATTCACTGAATTCAGAATTTTTTTGGTCACTTAAATATTCAACAATTAGATTCTGAAAATACTAAAAAGCATTATGCGTGAGAAATTTCAATACATCAAGCATTTCTAATTGTGCTCAGGAATACAAAGGGCGTTTATTTTGTTAAAGAATACATTCTCAAGAATCAGATTAAAATAAACAACTCATCATTCTTATGTCAGTGGGAATGTTCTTCTCTGAAAAGTAGTTGGTTCAGTAAAAGCTGTTGTAAATGTGTGTATTGCTTACCAGATAGTACATTTTCTTTATAAAATTCATGCTTATACATTTTTCCAAAACAGTTATGATCTTAATTTCTGGTTGAAATCTGTCAGCATTATTTATTTAGATTATGGTGATCTCATTTTATCTTTACTTCCTGGTAATTATTTGCTTGGACAGTGAAGATGTTTCCAAATTTGCTACCACTGAAATAATGCAGGCCATTTTATGAATAATATTCTTAGAAATATGTTTATGTGGGGCTGGTAGGTGGTGTGGTGTGCAAAAACGCTGGATTCCCACATGGCCAACTATGGTTCAAGTCCTGGACCTGTGGCTTCCTTTCTCATTTTCCCTTTCTCTCTCTCTCTGGTCAAATTAAAAAAATTATAACAAACGTAATTAAATAAATAATCCTTTAAAAAAGAAAGAAAGAAATATATTCAGGTTATGGTGACAAGAACACATCTATGAGTTCTTTTAAAAATATATTTGGGGGACCAAGAGGTGGCGTAATGGTTATGTTGCTGGATTCCCATGTAGTTGACCATGGTTCAATTCCCAGACCCAGCGGCTAAAACTCATGCCAGGCACCTGTGTGTGCATGTGCAAAATCTCAAGAAGAAAATGGACGAGAAGGGATTGTGGCATGGTAATCTTCCTGGGGGTGATTTCTTGCTTTCTGTCTCTCCA